GATGCGAACTATTTATGTCTGGTCGAGAAAAAGTATGCGCAGATGCACCACAGCCGACGATTTTTTTCCCGTTAGCTAAACGGTAAACAGTAGGAATAGAGATCATTGTCTATAGCCGGTCATTATCAGGACATTGTCCATAGCCTGTGCTCAAAAACACTTTCTTTTGAAAAATTTATGTTCCAAAAGAAGATGGAACGTCAAATTGGTTTATGTGTGGAATTTTATCAAGGCAAACTAATTCTTTGAATAGTTGGAAAACGTAAGATAGAAAAGGCTTAACTTTATAGTTAATAACTATGGCTAAATGCGTCATTCAACGTGCTTAATGTCTGAAATATGTTAATGAGGAAAAAACTAACAACTCTGATATCAAACACGATACATTTTTGTCTGTGCTTGGCTAAATAATCACGGAGAAATGTACAGTGTTCCAAAAAATGGACCATCCTGAATAACTTTTGATTGAATGATCGGATCATCACTTTTTGGGACTCAATTTTAATGGCTCGAGAGGATGACCAAAAATATGCTAATTAATCAATGCAGACGATATTTTAAGTTACGAAATTGGACACAAAAACATATTTTCTCAGAATAAATATGTATTTTTTCCAATGGATTTAAAGTTCTGACAACTGAAATACAGCGACAGCAGCAATTTGGGAAATATGGTCCCCATATTTGGTCAGGAGGGAGATTCATAGTTTGGACTCCTTAATGTTAATTTTTGCAGATTTTGTCATATATTGAGAATTTTCTAAGCGAATTGAAAACTTTTTGCACAGAATTATAAAATTCGTTTATCCAAAGATAGTTCCATGCAAAGCATGAATTTTAATAAATATTTATTATTTCTCATTATTTTAGTCGAATAGTCGAAAAATTTTGAACTGTAACATTTACAATTTTTGATGTCCTTTCTAAATATCTAATTTCATATGTCAAGGTACAAATCAGAGTGAAATCAGTTGAATAGCTCCTGAGAAATTGACTATAAATATGCGACTCTAAATAAACAACTTCTTTAAAATTCGATTTCTCAGAAACTGATTTCGGTCAAATTTTGTATTTTGCGAAGAGAAATTACACATTTTAAAATGTATAAAATTTCACTATTATTAACAAAATAATAAATATTAACTAACATTTATTTTTTGCATGGAATTATCCTTGGATAAACGAATTTCATAATTCTATGCAGAAATTTTTCAATTCGCCTAAAAATTTCTCGAGATATGGCGGAATAGGCAGAAAGCAAAATTAACATTTAGGGGTTCAAAATTTGTACCGCTCTCCTGGCCAAACTAGTGGAATTATATTTTCCGGATTGCGGCTACTCCCTTTATTTTTGTAGGTTAGATGTCCTCAGTTATCAAATATTCAAAAGTGTATTTGAATATTTGAATAATTACATACCTGCCAACTTTTGCGCATTTGGCATAAAATCTTATTTCTATATTTAAAGTGGTAATAAAATGTATGCTTTCTATATATTCCTTCCATTTATAAACTTAATTTGTAAAATTTCTGACCACCACTATTTTTAAGAAAAATTAAGCATATATATTAGTGTCTAATACTGTCATGGTAGTCCGGTAAGCTTTTTAAAAATACAACCTCTGTTTCTACCTATAATTGTAATTTCAATTCCATTTTACTACCACTGGGGAAAATCATGCTCGAAAGAACTAAAAGTTGGCTGGTATGTAATTAGCGTATTTGAAGTCACCTCCTTGAGCCGTTAAGATTGAGTTCTAGAATATCCGATCATTAGATATAAAATTTTTGAGGTGATCCATCTCCTCCCCCCTACCAATTTTAAGTAGTTGCATTGTGCTGACACATCTTCAGGAGCAACTAGGCATTATTAGGAACCATTATTAAAGGAACCATTTTGTCATTAAAACAATGCCCGAATTCTCAAAAGCACAAAAGTAGAATAATTTTGCTTTATTCCTCTTACTACAGAGCTCCGTCCTTTCATATGTAGATCTTGCGCCGAAAGTTTTCGTTAATTTTTCATTTAACATTATCCTGCCCGATTATTGCCTGATTTTAGCAATAGATCAAAATAGAGCCACAGTTCCTGCTTGTTGTAACTGCGACGATTTTTTCAAGCTCGGAACTAATAACTTGATGAACTTATATGTTATTTAAGATAATCATTTGCTTGATTAATTCATTTGCACGAAATTACCAGGTTATTTTTTATTGCTAAAAACTACAGCTCAATCTTTTCGTGTATACATGCATACAAATATCTGATAACCATCTTTTAATTCCCTGCAATTTCGAAAGAGATTAAAATGATCTGATCTATTATTAATTAAAAATTCGAAAAATTTGTTGCTTTTTTACTTAAAAATTTTAATATATAATTGATTTTATTACATGCACAACTCCATTATATTGCAATAAATAACAAGACACTCTACCAAACAAAAGAAACACGTTCTTTCAACTTCCTGAGTGCGAGAGTATTATTTATCGGAAACATGCGACAGCGACAATAGCGCAAAACACAAACAAAAAAATTAATTGACAACAGAAAGAACAACAACTTATGAGAACCAAAAACCACGTGATACCACGTTTGGGAAATCCAATCGCGGGAAGTGGTTGCAGGATGAGAATGGATCTCTGAACGTTCTTTATGAGTGATTAACCCTTACCAAAAAGAAAAGCAGAGATTTTATTGGCTGAACCTCGCACCTAATGCAGCGAAATCACGTTTACCCCACTCTGCCCTATCCTGCCATCGTTTTCCCCTCTAGGCACGACCTTCATATCGCTTTGGCCTTACTTTATTCTTTTGATTCGTTTGATTTCTGACTGTCAATCTTTGTTTTTTGCCATTGGCCAAAGATACTAAAGAGTTAATGCGCTAGTATTTTCGTTTGAGAAGTAAACGTTTTTGTAATGGGTGTATCTTAAAACCTTTGTGATAATTTTTAAAGAATGATAAAATGAGTTTTAATTTTTTTGTATTATTTTAAAAGCTTTTGATATATAACCTCTCAGGGTATTTATATTTTCAAAATAAACATGTGTACCAATGTCCCCATTGTATTAAAGTTGCTTATTGTGCTTTTGTTTTGTTTGCTTCCTTGCTCTACGCCCTTTTTTACGGACATAAATTTTATAACCATTTCTGATTTTAATTCTATTTTTAAAAGCGATTTAGGCAAAACATTAATTTCTAACTCAAAAAATTACATCATTCTAACATTTCATTTTATTGCGTTGAATGGTATATTTTTATTGATTTCAAAATATTTAAATTTTTTATATTACTTATAACAGAGGAATAAATTTTATTTTGTTTAATATAAAGATTTTCAACATCATTAACAACATGAAGGGTGACCCGGCAGGATTACCGATTAAATTTTTATTAGTAATTCTGGTAAACATTAAATGAGAGAGCTATTTTTTTGTGTTTTGCCAGTTTTGATTTCTCCAGCAGTTTCAATCAATCCATATAAGAGTTGGAGGTAATGTTTTAACGTAAGATGTCGCCAACGTTGCAACCTCAGCAATAGCGATGAAATGTCAGAATTTGTTATTTATTTTTTTTTATTTTAATTCATTGATGGTGCTGCCATCGTATTTCCTTTTGGGAATAACCTCTTATCTAAAAGAAGTCAGTAACGTTCTGACTGGCAACAAGTGAGATTATGTGACCTAAGATTGTTTATGCTATTATTTTCTATACATATTTAAATAAAAATTTAGTTTAATTTTGGTTCTTTTTTTAAAGAAAAAAAAAATAAGACCATAGAAACCCAGCCACTTTTATCGCTAGTGATAATCGTAAACTCTCGTTACTTTGCCCTTTAGATGCCTTTTGTTTCTCATATTTGACCCAAGTTTTCGATTCAAACAATTGTATGGAAAGGAAAGTGCCACAAAAGCTCAGGTCAATCCTACCACAAAATCATCCAAACAAAAAAAGAAATTATCATCTTTTTAACGATACATGATTAAATAACTTATATGTTAAGGATATCACTGTTTTTGGCTTGGCTGGTTGCATCTTTTGCATCTATTTTTTGTCGAAAACTCTGTCAGGCAATGAACAAACAGTCAAGAAGATATATATATATTTGCAATTTTGTATTTAAAAACTTAGTGACTAGTTTTTGTTATTTTTTATGAATTCAACTGGTAATATGGCTTTTAAAAAAGCTGTTTTAGCAGAACTTAACCTCACAACCGATACTGAGCCAACTTACTGAGTGTAAAGTATAACATTCAGTTATACTTTACACTCCTGATTCATTCTGAATCGAGGAATTCATTTTCATTCGAGGAATCATTCTTTTCGAGGAAAAAAAATTTAGTGTTTTTAAAATGACAAGTTTACGCCTATGAATAATTCAACTATCCAACCAAAAATTGAAGAGTTAAGATGCTGTTACCAATGTGATCCAGTCACTAATATGCCAAACCAATATTGAAACTTTTATTGAACTATAATACTTCAGGCTTTGATATTCTTAATAAATGATAATTTGATGAGGTATAACTGAATGTTTTGTCATTAAACCTTTTTAAAATAACAGTCCTTATGCTGGTAACAGTTTGCAGGAAGTGGCTAAACTTACTCTCACTAATAATCTCATTCCGCCACCCATAAACATTGATCTAAGATGATCCAATGAGGATTCCTCCTTAATACGATCGGTGGGGACCAGTAACAATATCCGAATGATATTGCCACTGCTAGGATATTGAATCCTGAGGTGAGACGAGCGCTCTATCTTCTAACAGTGCATGAAAGTTACTGACGCTATATTATTTAACATACATTATTAATACTAAGACTTTCTCATTGATTCAATAATCAAATCAGTTACTTCTTGTAAACACAGGTACGCAGTGTATCATAATTTAAACCATTATTCAGTCAACCTCCGCTAAACAGTAATTTAAAAATAATAATACAGTTAGCACATAAATGCAACTTTGCTGTAGAATGCAATATGTAATAATACCTCGTATCCATCATATGTCCAAGAACCAAATTTCATTAAGCAGGACTGCTCGTCAAATGGAAAGTACTCAACGTCTATTTCACAGGTACTCTTGTACAAAGCGGGAGGTTTCCACACTATTTCACCTGAATAATATACTGTTGCTTTTGTCATTAGGGTTACTTCGTAGTTCCCATCGGCGCTGAAAAGATAAAATTACCTAAATTTGGTCACTTCCACAATCATACTACTTTGATTAATGGATAAATCATATAATTTTGATTTTATCGGGCTTCAAAATAAATAAAATTTTCAGATTTTTAAATCATTTTCAGAAAAAATTTATCAATTTATGTGAAATTTGGCATAAAGTTATCTTGATATACTAATGTTGATAATCAAATTGCAAGAAAATGGCATTTCAACATTATAGGACATACACTGGCTTGAGATTCAGTAACACTCATCGGAATTGCAAAGCATAAAAAAATGACTAAATTTGCAGTTGTATTTTATTTACGTCACACTAAAGTTGCTGAATTGGCTAATCGGTGACTGCCTGGGAAAAATTAAGGATGATCCGAAGATAAGTTGGATCTTAAACTCACAATCACTCATCATACTTTTGATCATTAGCAGAAGAGATTGTTTCCTCTTTGGTAGCTCGATGACCTACGCTCAAAATCAAGCCTTCTTCAGCTACCTGTGAAAGGACTAAGAGTGCTATGCCACGTTCCTTTAGTCATTTAAGACTGTTAAGAGTGGCCCACCCTACCACTCACTGATCGCTTCCAGTGAGGCTTGTCTTCGGTGATCTAAAGGGGACATTTTCTTAACATCAGTTCAGTGTGGGACACAAACAATGATAACAAAAATGAACAAAAAAGGGTTGATACATAGTTTTATATCCTGTCACTCTAACTTTTAAGGTAAACAGACCTCACACTGTGGTACCATGCAGAAAAAAGGCAGTTTAGGTGCTCTTGAGGCAATTGACTATTCTTGTTCATTATGACCGTTTTTAAGTTGTGAATGGTAACCGCATGAAAAAAATAAATTAGGACTGATTTTCTCCTCAAATTAATTTAGACATGTTCTATATGGTAGAAGTCTGGAGATTTGGGGATCTAAACAAGTCGGAAACTGAATCAACTTTCTAGAAAACCATCATTACTATTGGCTAAAAGTAGTTACGTATCACCGTCCATTTAAAATGAAATTAGTGTCAACTATCATTCTAAAAATTTGAATAAATTGTACCAAGATTCCATTCCTATACTCACACCTGTCATAGTGCATCTTACAGAATCATGGATGGGTTGCAATTCAATAATGTGATGCTTGCCCAGGCAAGTTGGCTGGTTCTCTCTTTCAACATAAAAGTATTAATCTTGGATACGCTATTCACCCATCAATGTCTGAGGAATTAAGCATTTTGACAGCGGACTTCCATGGCCTGGGTGTGCTCCATAGCTGCACAGTTCGCCATATCCCTGTGGCACTGTGTGTGGTCTAAGCTTCAGGAATGATATCTTAGCGTCCTATTTAAATTTTCTCAGAGGTGCAATTAGCCTTAAATTTAATAAAATTGTCGTGGCTCATATACGCATGGGCTCATGGTAAACTATAGTAAGTGATTTTCTAGAAAACGAATATATTCACTGCTTAGATAAGCCAGCCAGGTCACCAGACCTGAATCCCATGAAGAATGCTCAAGATTTACAAAATTACTAGTGTTACTCGTAGATCACTCAGCAAACCTATGCAAAAGTTACATATTCTGAATATTAATTGAAATTTATTACCATTGCCTTTTTTTACTCCATTAAATTTTGTTGTGAAAAACAAAAATGTATATTCATATTATTATCAATAATAAAAATAAATTATTGTTTGCAGAGAAGTGATATTTTTATAAGTTCCTAATCTTTATTTCATCCTAAATCCATACACATATAAACATTGTCAAAAATTTATGTATATTTACTTACTTGTTAAAAAGAACTATGTCTGGAAGCCAAATATGTTCGGCAGGTACATGAATCATTTCTACCCCTCCATAATCTTCAGGATCCCATTTAAGCTTATAATCATGCCATGTCTGTAAATAAAATAATTATTTCAATATTCCTGTAAAGAAGTTATACTGTTCTTATATTTTTGTATGAAATGGTATAAAGAGAATTGTGTATTAGTTAATGAACACAAAAGTTTTAGAAATCCTTATAAAACCTCTAAGCTACAATGAGAAATTGATTTTTCAGTAAGCGTTATCTTTAAAAAAAACTATGATAAAAAAATTAAAAAGCTTTTTACAAATCAATACTACTCTATTCTTCTCTTTTACAAATTATTAAAATTATCTTCAATGTCACTATAAATACAAAAAGTAGACATTTTTAAAAAAGGTAAAAAAGAAAGTATTAAAACGAAAATTTTAAAGAAGCTTTAAGCTGCTCTTCCACAAAATAAAAAGACGAAAAATTACATTTTTTATTCTCTAATCAATAACTCAGAAATTTAATTACAATATTATTGATATGCAGTTTCGAATTACTACGTTTCTGTACAAGATGGACGTGTACACAAATTAAAAGACAATATAGTATATATATTGGGAAAATGAAGTATTCATTTTTCCCACAGTTGTGTTAAAACAATGTTCAGCTTTTGGATTAATGAAAATTCTACATTAATGCAGCCAAACATGTTAAGTTGACATCTGCGTGTTAATTGTGTCAATCACCTGTCTAAGTAGATCTTAATTATAAAGTATCAATCTGACGAAAACTAATTCTCCCTTTGTACTTATTTGATATGTACTTATTTTGATTTTAAAGTGAAGATATGGCACAAGTGGTAAAGGAAAATTTCAAATTAAAGATCTCTAACTTTTTATTAATTACTTGAAGGCTTCACGTCCTCTTCTTTCCACTCACCAATTTCCAAGATTGCATCACATTTATTATTATTTCGCGCTAAAATATCTAAAAATTTTCAAAGAAGTATGTTGCAACAAGGAAATAACTCTTTTTTTAATCTTTATTATGACTCAAACAATAATATGCAATCGTTGTTATGATTCGCACAACATATAACGATTCAACAAAGAAAGGTTTGTAAATAAAATGCATTTATCAAGCAAATAGCATTTTGCTAATAAAAATGCTGTTATGCAAATTTCATTATTCTCAAGAATATAGTGCTTAATCTAGGTAATTACTTAATTTTTTTACGTGTGTAATGTGTAATATCTTAATACCCAAAAAACAAAATATCCAAACGGTGTTTATAACGAACACTCAAGACGCATTTCGTTCAGTTCACATATAATTTATAATTTAATCGATAACAATCGAAAGTAAATATTTTTTGAGTGGAAGAATACAATGGCTGTAAGCCTTGGTGATTTTATAGTACTATTGTTTTTGTTTTTACTTTCAGCTTCAAGGACGAATTAGCTTATATAAAGTAATGATCTCGAAACATGACCTATTGCAATTCCTTTTTCCAATAAGAAACATATAATCATTGTTTAAAGAAAAAAAGGGATGGAAATTTTCAAGAAAACAATTAAAATTACAATAATTTAAAAAATTTTTTGAATTTCAAAAAAAAAAAATAGTGTTTGGTTTGTAAAACAAATTGCCCTTTCAGCACGCGTCATTGTTTTAATTATGATGGCTGTAGTGTGGTCCACATAGTCGATTTTTTACTGTAACTTAAGCAGCTAATAATTCTGAAATAAATTATCGAATGAAAATTTTTTTTTATTCCATCATTTTCTTTTTCCGTTACAATTGAAATATTTTTAAACTCAAATAAATGTATAAAACGTTGCGAAATAAACACGACTATTTGGATACATTTCCTGTTTCATCAGTTTCTAACTTAAGCAGACTGAACTTAACTAACTGAAGCAGCTAACTTTACTAAACTAATTTAATCAGACTAATCTTAAGCAGACTAATCTTAAGCAGACTTTCATATTAAATTTCCCACAAATTCGCATACGGTTTTGGAATTTAAAGAATCTCCAAGATGCCTACTTTTTATAGTACACCATCACCAGGATTGCACCATAATTATTCACCAAGATGGTGAATAATGAGCAAATCCCTATTCACAATCATCAGCTTTAACAGATTGATAATTTTTACTTTTTTCCCGTTAAAATTTCTTGTTTGATAGAATTTTATATTCTCTTTAAAAACTATATTTTAAAAAAAATCTAAATCAAATATACAACGTTAAAAACACTAAATCGTGCTAAAATCTTTACGTGAATGTATTTAAATAGTTTTTTTACGGTTTTTACCATCTTTTTATTCAGTCAAAATGGTAGAAAACGAAAACTTTCCTTATTTCGCAATAATTTATTTAAGACATAGAATAAATTAAGGAATGACAGGCTAAAAAGAATAAAAAAAAGAAAAATAATTGGTAAAACATGCAAAGAAAATTTGTTGAACCCTTTTACCCGCAGCAAGGCTCTTTTAATGGAATTATTTTTTTGGTTTCTCTCCAAAGAGAAGGAAGGAAAGAGACGGTCTCCTATTTACTGAAATGCGTCTACATTTATATCGCTTGTCCAAAGTTCGGAAAATTAATCAGGCTCAGTTGTGTTGATTTGGAAACTGAGTTGGAGGAAAACCTGTATTTAACTGAGGAAACTGCGTTCTAACAAATGTCCGATATAAAACTTTTCGAGGAAAAAGTTTTTTTCGTCGAAATAAAACAGGTGAAGGATGAAATATAACAAGTCTGGGAAAAACTGGGAGTAAATGTCTTTTATTTTTGAAAAAATTAAAGGGTTGATTTAGTTTTATTTTAATATCCAGTAAAAGTTTTGGTTATTTTGAATGTTTTGAAGAAACATTTTCCGGATTGATGCAGAATAATTATTTCCTAATTTGGCTTAATTTTATAAATTAAAGGATTATTTTTCGTTTTATTCCAGGAGAAACCAGCAGAAATGTCAAAATATGCCTGTTTTCTAAATTAAAGATCTACAACAAGTTATTTTTTTAACTGTCACTGCCATGGACACATCATGCAAAATTTGCCTAAATGCTAAAACTGAAATAACCAAAGATTTTTTTTAATTAAACACTTTAGTTTTCGTTGATTTACTCTAGTACCGACAGCGTATGTTTATCGGTCATAGTTCTTTAATGGCGCGACAATCCGATGTGAATCATGACCGTGGAATATTATTAACTTTACCTATCTGATACCTTTACCAGTTCTTAACTTAAAGTATTTTAAGATCTTCGAAAAGACAGTTAATATACCGTAGTTCAGGACTTCCTTTAGCTCGTTCACCATACGGTTTGGTCGCAAAAACCTTTCTGACATTTCTGTTTCTTTTTTCTAATGACGAAGTCGGCAGTACATTTTTAACGATGAGTCTAGCCCAGTTTAATCTTCAGTATTTTAATGAATTTCGCAAACTCTTATTCGTTACAGCTCTAATACAGTTATAATACATTTCTAATGAAGTGCCCTGCCCACTTTAATCTTTGTATTTTAATGAATTTCGCAAACTCTTATTCGTTACAGCTCTAATACAGTTACAAATTCATTCTTTTATACCAAATACCATCATTTTGTACTCCTTCTAAAATATTTCGGGGTATTTTTCCCTCAAAAATCGTCTTTTTGAATCAGTACCCATGCTTCTAAAGCATAAGTTAGCGTAGTTCGGATTAAGATAAAAAAATGGCCTTAGTTTTCCTACTGATCTGAGTTATCGTTGTAAAATAATTAAATCCAACAAATGACGGATATTTCATGTTTGGTTACGTTGTTTGTACTACTAATCAATAATATCCAGTGATTCTTCAAATCTTGCTGTCTATTAGTTTAGGATGTGATTAAAAGACGTTATTATGGAAATGATTTACTACTGCCCACTTAAAGTGGTCATCATTTCTAATGATCACTAAAACAGCTTCCACTCTGGTACATTGACGTAGGTTGCAATTTATAGAATTTCACAAATCAGTGCTCACTGTAATAGTTTTACTAATGACATAACGCAGTCGATTGAATTGAAGCTTTAACCAGGAATTAAACGTGGTTTCAATTGTTGTTGAAGATCCAACGGGATATGATGGTTGTTTCATTCATCTTATGTAGGAGTGATCCTATGGTTCGATCTCACCCTTGACGATCAAAATTAGTAAATATATTTGTCAATAACTATACTTTGTAAATGTGTATTTCTGAAATATCTTAGGACTAAATATATTATAATTATAACCATCGCTGAACAGCCGACCCAATTTCATGGGTTTAGGACTACTAATGTTCAACTCCGTAACCTTGTAATTTTGAACCCAATCCAGAAGACAAAGGAACTCCTGCATCGAGTATTGGGAGAAATTTGTCTTCCTGGAGAACTTTTTGATGTAGCTAATCCGCATTTGCGTTACATGGAGAGAAAGACCACGAGAACCTCTCACGGTTAGCCTGATGGCAAAGGGACTCTAACCCATGATCCNTACCACTCAGGATATTTCATGTCCGCACTGTGGTCGGTGCAAGCCGGATGTGGAATCGTATCGACTGGGATTCGAACCCGGTTCGCCTCATTGGAAGGCGAACGCTCTATTCCCTGTGCCATCGTGGCTCTTAGGACTAAATATAACTATAAAATTATTTAAGCAATATTCATAAAAAAGGGCATGCGAAATTTAAATTTCTGAATATCTCTCCACCGTGCAATCGCTCCGCATCACAAAAAATCTAATGCTTTTTCACGATGATTCGTCTTACTATGGTTAAAAATATGTTTCAGTGTGAGAAATATATTTCAATTAACCTTTTATGGGTCATTTTTTCTGGTAATGTTATATTAAAATATTTCTGAAGCTATCAGAAAAAAGAAAGCACAAATCAGAGTGGGAAAATAGCTTCATTTCAAAATTTAAAAATTAATACAATTGGCGGGAAGTGTACATCCCGCTGTTTTAAAAAGGTTTCGGAAGTATAATGACTCAGAAATTAGATGTGGCTGATTTTCAATATTTTGACGTTTTAACTCCAAAATATTACACTTAACACTAAAAGCTTAGTGAAAGGAGGCTATGTTCGTCATTTGTTTNTTTTATCTCTCACAGGACCCTCTATGGGCCGAAACGAATGTTGCCCCCTAAAATTATTCTTCATAAGGCATACATCCCACTAGTTTATTTCAAACTTGACGAGTCACAGTTCCCTAGTTTCCCTTGTTAGTGAAAGGAGGCTATGTTCGTCATTTGTTTGAAAAAATGAAATTTCTCGAAGAAAAGTCTCTTATCTTAGTCTTAGTGAAATCTCTTACGTTCAAATTATACAATATCGATTTATTTACTAAGTTATTAAATGGTTTTATTTAATAAAATTATTAACTACTCTTCGTTGATGAAAATTCTAAATAAAACTTTCTTCGAGCGTTTTTGAAGTGAAAGAAAAGTCCGTGTACATTTGGCAGCGAACAATTGACGAGTAAAATTAGAAGGTACGACTTTTGGTAGCAAACTAAAACATTCAAAAGTTTTCAAATTATGATGTGAACAATAAATTTAAATGAGGGATAGTGCAAACAGATTTGTTAAGCTTGTCAATTGAAATCTTGCTGTATAAAACACAGCACGAACTTTATTTTTTATTTTCGAAACATGAACTAAAGAATATTGCTCAAATTTAATAAATTCCAACTTAAAACATTCATTATCTCGGCTCTTCAATTATTTTTTTTAATTTTTTGCGTTCCATTACGGATGTTTCCGTCTTTAGAGTTTCCTCAGTAGAGATTCATATTCCTACAAATTAATTATGACTCCCAAAAAGTTATCTTTTGACGCCTAATGTTAAACAGCAAAATTAATGGTTGTGAGCGACCACAGGTAAATATAACAAATGGTGACTAAATAATTGTCTGCTAGCCATCACATGACTAAACCGGTTTGGTCTAAAATGCATCCCATGTGTATTCCATTACTTTTTTTTAAACACATTTGGAATTACTATGAATATTTTTCAGAAAAACGAAAATTGCGCTATTTTACGTGTGTTTCTCATAATTCATTTCTTAATTGAAGAAATTTCTTATCTTAAGAAGTGCTTCAAAAAATGCCTAGCATTATCAATAACAACAGTTTTGTGATAGTTTAAATTTTTAAAAAATGGTCAAGTGCTTTTATAAAGGTGCCCATTGTTGAAAATACTTCAACTGGTCATTGGCTAGTCCTATATATTGAGTCTTAGTGGTCCTAATTAATAATTATGGATTTTATACTAACAGCTGGATCGTGGCCAGTTCATCCACACCTGACATAAATCAGTATATTATTTAGCTTATTTTTATAATTTAGGCAATAGAAGATTTCAAAAAATTGGTTCTACATAACCAATGCAGTTTATTTATTTTGCAATGTTAATATATAGTTGAATGTGTCTAAAATTCTATCTGCTGTATATACAAATATATAAAATGCAATGAATTCATTTCTAAATTCGCAGGCCATTAATAAATTTTAGATAATGTATTGAGCTCAGGGAGAATTTTAATGGTTTATTGAGTAATCATACTTAATTACAAATTAATATGTAATACAGAAATATTTCTGTTTGACGCCCCGTGTGTTAAAAAGGCACCTCTGGGGATTTAACTAATAATCACGGACCAAAAAAATAATAAACCTTAGTAATAGCTAGTTTGTCACCAGTTTATTCAGCATATGCAATTAGTATAAATCAGTATGTAATTTAGATGATTTTTGTAATTCTGTCACAAGCAGATTTTTTTAAAAAATAAGCATAAATAGGCTGCTTATTTATATTGCAATGTAGAAATACTTGTATATATCTAAAAATACATTTGTAGTAATTGATTTCTAAATATTGAAGAAAAACTATGATGGCATATTTAAAAATTTCAATAAAGTATTTAGTTGTTACAACATTTTATTCTGTTAAGTCATATACGAAAGGATCTACAAAAAATTTCTTAATCATTTAACAGACAAGATTTTCTATCTTTTTTACGAGCTCTAAATTTTATGGAATTGAATTTCCATACTTAAGAAATACTTATTTTATCTGGCACACGCTCCATTCATGTAAAGTCTATTCGTGCGGCGCATAAACTTTAACTTGATGTTCCCGACTTTATAACCATTTGTTTCGGAAACATTATTCTTGCCAAGTAATATCTGATGCTGTAAGGAATGAAGAAAATATCTGTACTTTTACGAACGAATTTTTTTTTAAAAAAAGAAGTCTCTTAGAACTAAATTTTTCCAATGTTTGGAAAAATATTGCTTTATTTCAGAATAATGGATTTTTCCCGATTCTTTCCATTCAAAACACGATTTTGCAAGTTACTCTTTAAGTGCGCGTAGTTATGCAAATGAACTTGTCATTTGAAATTCAAATTCGTCTACCAACGCTTTGGGCAGAAACGAAAACCTTTGCAAAATGCGGGAAATCGTGAAACCTATCGATTTTTAGTAGGCAATGCCTTAATAAAATTTTATTATCCCTCGCAAATCCTTATTTTCAAGAAAAGATCATTTTTAAAACCATAGACACTGTGTTTTATGTCAGAAGATAAATATTTTATTTTTTTTATTAAACTAAATTGATTTTTTTAATGGTTATAATTTTGAACATTTTCAGCTTGTTATGAACCTTATTGATGATTAAAATTTAATTCACGATCATGATTTTAAGATTTTGGAAAAAAATAATTTGATAAATTATATTTTAATACCATTTTGGAAACATGAGGCATAAAATGTATTCTGTTTTGAATAAGAGATTGAATTTTTTATAGTTTTGGAAGATCCATAAAAATTTATGTTGTACTATAGTGATATTTTTCGTTGTAAAACTGAAATTTATTATCAAAATGTTAGATTTATTATCTAAAAAAAGTTCTTAAAAGGAAATAAGAAAAAAAAGTTCCAAATATGTATAAGTTAAATAATGAGCTTTTGAATTTGTAGAACGCTTTACCAAATGAAATTATTTTAACTTTATTTTTTTATGTATGTGTGTATTCATGTTGAGTTATTGTTTATTGGTTAAGTTAATAATATTTAATCTTCTCATATCTAAGTCATCAAATTTTCATAGTCCTAACTTCACAACACTACTTCTCAAGTCCCTCGACCTATTTTATAAACCTATTGCAATTAACAAAGTTTCTTTTTTTGCTTGTGAATTAAGATATGATGGGGAAAATTTTTTGAGTTTGTCCCTAACATAAAACTGGAACACTTAGTGTGATTTTGATGCACTACGCAGTCTATTGTATCTTAACAAAAAGCATCCTATACCCACCCGGTTTAATTTTTGTGTACCAGAACACGTTTGCATACGTATATTACACTAAATAACTATTTATAAAACTATACCTCGTTGCAAAATAAATTAACTCCTTACGCCATTTCTGTTAATTTTACTATCTTCAAATTACGAACTTGACTCCGGTCTCCATCACCCAACAATTATTGGAATCACCCTTCACTTTATGTTCATCACTTTTCTATAATTTGACGGTTTAGCGCTGGTGGAAAAAAGTAAATAATGTTGTTCATTTTTTTTAAGGAGCTGGAGAGGTAAATTCTAGCTCTTGGTCGAAAAGGAATGGTTGAAACAAACGAATATGAATAGTTGAATAGCAACAATGGTTGAATAAAGCATGAATAGTTGAAGTAGATGAGGAAACTATGGAAACGTTTAGACATTTGTAAAAATTAAAAAAGAAATTATTACTTATTTTTTAAATTTTTTTCTAGATATAACACATTTTTACCTTTTAATTCCCTAAAAACCCATGAACAATGCAAATATTTAGCAAAAAGTTGCTGACAGTGAAAAGTGCGCGAACCTAACGTAGAAGGCAAGAGTTTTTTGATTTTCTCAGGGAGGAAAAATGATTATTTTGGGCTTTAAAAATACATTTAAAACGCTAGAAAGATGAAAAAACTCTAAAGTATGATAATCTGAAAGAAGGAGAGAGATTTGTAGGATTTTCCCTCCTGAATTGAAAAAAAAATCATGAATGGATTTTTCTGTTCGTTTGATGGGTATTTTACTTATTACAGTCCAGTTTTCGCAACTTTTTTCTTATCCAAATACCTCAAATAATAAAAATAGTTACAATTTTGGGTAATCGCGGGTGATTTTGAAGTTCTCACTAGTTCAGAAAGAGTCACACTATTAGGGTTTCCTAATTTCTCCTGCTTAACCGCTTTCAGCCAAACCACCTCTTTTTATGGAGGAGGGTAAAAAGAGCTGAAAGCTTGAATAAGTAGAAAATAATAGTTATTAAACTGTGAAATAAAAACTATTTTTAACAATTTTCTTAAAATTTGAGGAAGGAGAAATCCCCAAAGCTCTTTTTTCGTTACAACTGTTCGTGTTATAGAAATTTTTTCGTCTCTAACCCTTCTCTACTCAAAATATCAAACTAATGACTATCGTCGTCAGCTGGACTATCCGGGGTAAGCCAAGACCTACAGCTGAAAATTCTTCCAAGACAAGCTATTCTTTGACCTGGATATGCCTATTTTCTTATTCCAATCACTCTAAAATTTGATTCCACGTCGAAACTTTGTTTCGGCCTTCTCTTTTTTTGATTAGTGACACATAAATTTTCTTTACTGTATCTTCTTATCCAATCTCGCAATATGTACAGCCTAGTTTATTCTTTTAATTTTAATACTCTTAATGATATCAGGATGGTTAAAAAATTTTGCGTTAACTTATTCTCCAAAAGGCCATTTTCTTTCACACGGACTTTTAAATTATCAAAAAATTATAAACATTTGGTAACGAAATTTTCAAAAAACAGTGAGCGGTCGGAAAAATGGGGAATGATATTCGAATTCAGGAGATCATTATCGAATGGAGAATCATAGAATTCAGTATATCATTCGTGTGAACTAATGCCATAGACTTTTAGTAAAATAGTGTTATCAATGGTAGTTATTAAATTTGGTTTGCTTACTTGTTCAACCCAAACATTCGTTGTCATTACTTGATGCTTCAGATTCTGTAAAGAAATAAAAATAAATTTAATTAAAAAGAAGCAATGCATTTTAGAAAACTATATTCTACAATCTTAATTATCCCATATACCTATTTTTAGCATCGGATTCTTAATTCACGGTTCAAAAATTCACGTTATTTAAAATTATGTGTTAAATTATGGTAAATAGTGGAAAAGTACTACATCTTTAAAATGGATTTTAAACAATATGAAATTTCTCTATCTTGCTTTGGTTAAAAGATAATTTGTCCCTGGACTTTTTAATCATACAGGGTAACAAAAAAATATAGGGATCATTTTTGAATGTTTATATTTCCAAAATTTATTACATAAATTCAGCCATGCTTCTCAATATGTCGACCTCCGGCATAATAGATTTGTCTACAACGCTTCGGCCAGGATTTTAAAGCCCGCAAAATGATTTCCTGGGGGATTTTCTTCACCTCTTCTCTAATAGCTCTTAGAAGGCCTCTCAATGTAGAAATTCTTCGCTTATTCAGTTTGTTTTTCAGATGTCCCCATTGGAAATAGTCGCATGGTGCAGCATCAGGACTGTTTGGAATCCATTGTTCTGGTCTCAGGAATTGCACTTGCTGATCTGTTAGGAATTTCTGGGTGACAAGGTTTCACAAACCGAGATTTGGTCACACCATGGGCGAATATGCCCATCCAAACCATTACGCCTTTGGGATGAGGCACCGTGGTTGATGGTGTCAAGTCTCGCCTGTTCTGCCTGCGAGTAAGATACTGAACTTTAGATTTAGCATTGGTGTTAGATAGATAGATCCAAGCTTCATCAGTTGTAATGAACTTTCGCCATCTTTCCTTACGGAGAAGCTTGTAGAGGGACAAAGAACGTTGTCTCCTAATCTGCACAGATCTCTCACTTAAATGATGACATTTAGGTTTTTTATGGCATTTTTTCTTCAACTTTTGTTTTAGTTGATAGCTTACAACTTGCTGACTCACGTTAAGAGCTTTAGCCATGCTTGCCTGTGTTAGTGGATCCGGTTTTGATGTCATCTTATCAAGCTTCTGCAAATCTGATTTCATCAATTTGCTTGGCCGTCCACTTCTTTTTGGTTTTGCATTATTTTGCATCGATCCGAGTTTTGAATTCTTGATGCGACTGATATGGCTGAGTAAAATCGCATTACCTTTCTTTTTAAAATGGGTTTGTATAATCCTGAGGCTCCAGCGAAGTTCTAAAAATGCTTGTACTTGACCAATTAGCTTCTTGTCAAATTTCTTCGAAGGCATTTTTGGGATTTTATGAAATAGTATTGCAATTGAAAGTTTAATAGCAGAGCTTTAGATCAGTAAGCTATATATGTAAAAAGGTTTTAAAACTTTAGTGGTAGATAGCCACAAAAGTGATCCCTATACTTTTTTGTCACCCTGTATTTTCTGATATATTATTCTCTGTAAATAGGTAATAATCTACAATAAGCATTAAGCATGCCTATTCTAATATAATAAGTTTCTGCGATTGACTTTTTATTATAATTAATGGTTTGAAAATATTAATTTGAATATCTTAAAAAACATAAACATCTAATTTTATTTTCTATTAAATTATTTTAACCCGCAAGTAGTTTAAAAATTCCGACTTATCCGCAATAATCATACCTGAGCCTGCCCAATGATTCTTCCTTTAACTTAATACCAAGTGCAGAAAAGATAAAGGGCATGACGTAGGCACAATGACGTCTTAAATTTGACATATACGTCACACTAAGTTAATATAGATTTAAAATGTGCTAGCTTGACTGCAATTAAGAATATTGCAACATAGTTCACGAATGCCTTGTTATTAAATCACGAAATTTAATAAGTGTTTACTGTTTTTACTGCTGGTTATTGCAGAAAAAATATGTAAATATTACGTCCAATATTTATTTAAACATTTTACCATCAAGGGTGAAATACTTAAAAGTGAAATTAAAAAGCCTTATGTTTTTTCTTGGTCACGTTTGTAATTTCAATCGAATACCGTAACATCATTTAAGTAAGTAAATGAAATTTTTTAATTAAAATTATCTCATAAAATGTTATAAATTAGCATTTTTTTATTTGTGTCAGAGTTACTCTACACCGAGAAAAATCCCGGTTTAAATTAAGGTGCAAATGGAAACATTCGTGGTGCTTTATACCAAAACATTTATTTTCACAGGAACATGTTACGAAGTAAAAACTCTGATAAACAGTAATTTTTACAGAAATATTTAATATAAAATCTTTGAATCATTTTAATTAAATAAACATTACTGTAAAAATCACGGTATCAATCAAATTACTGTAAAAATGGATTTTACGGTTAAAAATGGATTTTACAGATAACGCACCCAAAGTATCGGTACTTTATACCGTAATTTGATTCGAAATTTTTTACAGTGTGCGAATATGATGTGGCCATATAAGCAAAAGTTTGCATTAAACAGTAATCTAAAAATCCTCTTGATTTTTTTCCAAATGGTAAAATGAGCAAATATTTTTCGAAAGACCTAAATGGTTTGCATTTTTATCTTCAATAATAGTTTTAGCAAATTACAGGGAAAAAAATCACAACTTTATTTTTCTTAATCTTCAATAAAGGGAGAATATTTTAAGAATGTTTCTTCGATATCAAATACTATTATTTGACTTTCGAAGCCGAGGCAAGGAAAATATCAAAGGCAAAAGCATAAAATAGTAAAAAGAACCCCGGAGGCAGTGAAGAAGAATAAATAAACTTTTGAAAACGAAAGAAAATAAAGAATTTCACGAAAAAGAAGAAGCATGACCTGAAAAATGAACTCTATAGAAGAACCTCAAAAACAAAGAATACGATATGAAATAGATAATGATAAAACGAAACATAGAGTCAAAGATAAATTGTCTTTTATTGGTCTCGTGGGCGAGATATTTTTTTTCTCATCATCTTTGGAGGAAAAGTTTAAATAACTTCTCCGTGTGTTATTTTTTTCCCCAAACTGGCATAAAATAGGTATTACTTTCCTAGCGCTAGGCATGCGGGGTATTTTTATACTTGATGTAAAGCCTCACCAGAATTAGATTTAAAAGAAGTAAGATACCATTACCCCCAAACTAGGTCAGAGCTCCAACAGGTATATTAGAATATCTGCAGGAATACTTTATCAAATGTGTTTTTCAAGACCATGGAATTATGCGTTGGATTACTCCAGGGAACTGTGAGGCCCTTGCCTCTTCAAGAAGACATGATAGCAGCATTATTATGACACCATCTTGGATAAGAGCCAAGACGAAGAATGTCTAAGCCATCCTGTAATTTATGCCTCCCTGTGTGGTTAAGCTCCGTCATTTCCATAAAAAAGACATGAAATATAAAAACAATGCATTCTAAGAGGATGGCCAAGATGGGTTCTGGTCCTTGTAAGAAGATTATATTCATCTGGAAGATTGCACAAGGGATATGGCTTACATGCCACGTATGAAAGCTTTGCGGTGCACAAGAGCCATGATACATATTTGGGTAATGTACGAGCATAAAATATTTCAAGCACACGAGAGTTATTTTAAATATTTTTCAGACAGCGTTTTCATGAAGTCTCGTCTATTTTGCAGATTCCTTCCGCAATGGCTTACATAAAACTGAAGCATTTACAGACAGAGCATTATGAAACCGGAGAATATCATACATTATAAAGAATTAAGGAAATTCATCCTTTGAAATTGCTCGTGAGAAACACTGATGTTTATTAACTAATATTAAAAGAAAATATGATTTATGCAGCATGTATGAATTTAAGCTGTATTTTATTTATTTTAGTACCTAATCTCCCATGCTCTTTAAATCAAAAATAATTTTTCTTTACTTGGGTAACAATGTTTTTGCTGTTTTTTTATTTAAAGATGGTAATTTGAAACATAGTTTTTGTGGAAAATTATTTAATGCTAACATTTCGTTACATGTCTAGCATTTTAAATAAGTTTTTGGAACAATTTTTTTTCCTCAGTTGCGGGAGAGATTTTGACACATCTTAGATACTTTGGTATCACAGATTTCAAGTCTAAATCTGCCTACGATTGGTTTGTCACACTCCCAGCTACAATTTTTTCATAAATGACATTTCTAGTTTACTTTTTATCGAAATGCATATGTTTAAAAACGTTTTCTATAACAGGGAGTCGCATAAATGTTGCGATTAACTTTTAGCAACAAAAATTTGTCCCCCAGTTCAATTTACTTTCCTTAAAATTAGGCAATAAAAAATAATTCTATATTTTCAATCTTCAAAACCTTTGCATTTCATATAATTTCAATATGATTATAAAAATATAGGGTTCAAGAATTTTTAATAATAACAGATGTATTGCCTCACGTTTTTTTGATTAGTTCTATTTCATTCTAAGACTTGTAAAGTTAAATTCATCATCCTAATAATTATGATTTTTTTTTAGTCATTATTGGTATTTAAAATTGTAAAACTGTTTTTATTGTATTTACCTTTTTTATCTTGTTTAATTCACTTAATGTGCATTTTAGGTATATTTGTAAAACTGCTTTTTGTTCCATCATAATTAACATGAAACATAAAAAATTAACATGAAACATAATTCCATGTTAATTTTTTCTTAAACATTCAACATTCTTAAACATTCTCTATGCAATTATGCTATTTACCACACCAAAGTAACCATGAAATTTTTCTATAAATTCTAAAATAATCCTTTTTTTTAGTCGAGTTAACATGTCTCATATACTGGTGATTTGGGATTGTAATTTTGCAGTGGTAGCTACACTTCAGTACTCCCCAACCAAAATTATATCTGTGACAGAATTCGATGAACGGATACCACTAGTTTATTCATTGCTGTTTTGTGAGACTACGGGAGAGCTGTATTAAGATCACCGTACTTTTTTAGTGCTGATCGTAGGAGCTGTATTAAGTTCAAGATCATGGTCGCTCCTGTGTTGCCTTTAGCAGTAGAGTGCATATGTTGTACGTGATCGAGACTAAGAAGCATCAACTTGAGGAGGA